CATTGGAGCAAGGAGAGGAAATGTGAACAGCCAAAGAGGCAGATTCCTTCCTAGTTCGTAGCCTAATAAGGAAGGACATTTTCCTGTTTTAATTGAAACTACAAGTAACCTGTTTTCATGTAAGAGGAAATAACATAGAAGGTAAGAGCAGAGCTCCTGGAGCCAGGCTGCTTGAGTTCAAATTCCAGCCCTGTTTCTTAGTAGCTGTTTGGCTATGGGAAAGTTCTTTAGCCCCCCCGCCTCAGTTTCCCCATCCATAGAACAGAGATAATTGTACATATAGAATTTTTGTGGGAATTAAATGAGTGAACATGTCCTTAAGCCAGTACCGGGTACATGGTGAGCACTATATGAGTGATTGCTATCATTACTTCTTCAAGGTGTTAATCACTGAATTTGCACCTTTAGGTAGAAATCTGAAATTATTTAATCTAAACACATTCTTCTAAAGACAGATGAACTAAGGCAATGTGGGATGGTTAAGAACAAATGGTGGCTGGGCGTGGTGGCTCAAACCTGTAATCCCAGCACTTTGGGAGGCTGAGTTGGGCAGATCACCTGAGGTCAGGACTAAGGTTAGCTGAGTGTGGTGGCAGGCACTTGTAATCCCAACTACTTGGGAAGCTGAGGCAGGAGAATCGCTTGAACCTGGAGGAGGAGATTGCAGTGAGCCAAGATCGCGTCACTGCACTCCAGCCTAGGCAACTGAATGAGACTCCATCTCAAAAAAAAGGAAAAAGAAAAGAACAAATGTTACAGCTGTTTAGAGCCAGACCAAGTGACCAGGGCTCTAACTAGCTATGAAGTGTGACTAGTATTCCTCCCACACCACGTGGCCTCCCTATATGTGGTAGCTGCGCCATGGTGGAAACGTACTGGACCAAGAACAATGCATAACCTTCTTCTACCTCCTATCTCAGAAACGCACCTGGGTGTTCCAGAATCTCCTCCAAGGTGATTCTGCAGAGCTCTGGGCCTCTTTAGTCTCTGGAAGGAGCTGGGGTGTCAGAATGCTATACATACCCAGAGAGCACCATGAACCGTCCTGCTGTGCCTGAAACTTACAGTCCATTAGCACCCCAAAAAGAGCAGCTGCAGATCTAGGACACGTACTCGCAGAGGTAGAATTTCCATACTCTTTACAGCCAGGGAAGCAAGTATGGTAATTCCAGAGTAGGTCAATTTTACCCAAAGAGAAAAATCAAATGGGAAATTAGTGACAAACCAGTGGCCTGGAGTATAGATAAGGAGAAAACACAGGTGCGCCATTATTTCCTTAAGAAAATTCTCATTGACTCCGGGGAGGATAACTTTAGTAAAGAAACAATGCATGTTTTGTTTTTGTTTTCCCCAGTTGAAAGTCGGTGAAAGGAAAGACATGATGTTGGATAAATGTGTATGTGTGTCTCTAAATATATGGGCTCTGGGTTCACAGAGACCTAGCTTTAAATTATGACTATTACTTTAAAAATAGTGACCTTGAGTAGGTAATTTAATCTTTCTAATCTATAAACTGTGAGCCTTAATTGTACTGACCTCAACGGGCTCATCAAGGATTTCTGGATGCCTAGTGCATAGTAGGCACTCACTGAGTCTCTATTCCCACCACCTAACCTCTCTGCGGAGAGGTAAGACTAGAGATAACTGTTAGTGCTTTTGCATATGTATGGAATCTACTGTGTGAAAGGAAAATAAATACTCGGGACCCCAATTCACCATGCTATGTTTTAGAAAAAAATAAGCCAAAAGCCGGGTCATGCGAGAAGCTGCCTTTCATTTTGTGCCTAAACAGAGAGCTATAGATGAAAGGTCAAATAGCTCCAGATGTAGCTACTCTATGTTCACCGTATCTTATGTAAAGTGCTGATGTACTGATCTCAACATGAACACATCAGTGGCAGTTCCCCTGCCTGCTCCCTTGCTCTTGCAACATGTGGATTGTTATACCCTCCCTCTTTCCCCTCCAGCCCACGTTCCCCCTTTCCCTCAAATTCATCTTTGGAGAAAGGCACAGACCATAGACTGTTTCTGTGACTCCGTGTTATTTTCTTCTGGGCGTGCCCTTCATCTAGGCAAAATAAACTTCTGAGTTGATTGAGGCCTGTGGCAGATACTTTTTGGTTTATTACTGTCTCTATAGTAGAGCTACCAACAGTGCACGCCGATACTGTGGAGGGCTTGCGTGTGCCAGGTGCTATTAACTCATCTAATCCATATAACTTCAGGAAACGGGGCATTATAACTTCATTTTACATAAGGAGATTATGGCACATAGAGTTCCTGGAACTCATCTGAGGCCACACAGATACTAAACACCATACCCAGGATTCCTGGGACCAGAGAGAATGTGCTGAGCCTCTCCATCACGCTGCCTCTCTGGTGTTAGCTCTCCTGGGGGTATCGTGAGGATCAGGAAACACAGTGTCTGTGAAACACTCTAGAGCTGAGCTCGCACGGTACGCGTCACAGGAGATGGTGTCCTGTTGCCACTGGAATGTCCTAAACCAACTTAATCTGGTGACTCTGGTGACATTTAAAACAGAAGCCACATGGGCTCCTTCATTTGGTTATGATTCCTCTTAGAAGGTGTCATAGACACTAGCTCAGGGAAAGAAAGAGAAATGGGATGTTGGACCATTCTTACAACCAACACAGAATTCCATAGCCCAATTGCCATGAGGTTTCTTACCTTGGATTTTCAATTCGATATCATCCAATTAAAATACACATGGACAAAAGTCAACTTTTCATTGTTTTAAATTTATTTTGCCTATTAGGAAAAATACACCACGTAATTCAACTAGCAAAGAAGGCTGCTTCAGGGTGTGTAAAATGAAAGGCTCCCAGGCAGTTATCTGATTAAAGAATACTAAGGGAGGGACAAGGCTAGAAGCCGCGGACTGTCTACACCATGGCAGTGGCTATTTGGGTTGGCTGGAGGAGCTGTGGAGAATATGGAGAGAGTGGTGCTGGGGACTGCCATGGCTATTCCTCATTGTCATCACAGAGTGAGGTTTTCCGTGTGCCCACTGGTTTGAAAACCATTTTACAACAATGATAGAATAGTACA